GGCCATAAGAAAACCTGGGCAACTACAAAAAGAGATTAGTTTTTCCTCATAAAGTCATAGGCATATGTGTGAAGTGGAAAGAGAGAGGACCTTCTAAGAACAGGAACCAAGAGGAAGACAGATGGGTTTTCTAGGGTATGGCAGCGAAGAATAATACTATTAAAACTTCACCAATTTGGGGGGGGGCAATTAGGGCTAGTAAGTGTCAAGTGTTTGGTCTGAGGCTGAATTTGAACTCAGTTCCTCCTGACTTCAGGACTGTCGCTCTATCCACTGCACCACCTAGCTGTCTCAAGAATTTTTGGTTTTGCAAGACTGTTATTGACCCTCTTAAGGAGGGAGCAGAGAAATGAAACACACCTGAAGGCAGCTGTAACTATGGTTTTACTAAAAGAGTTATGATACTAGTTTCTTTGTTCTTAATGTGCATTTTCATAAGCCTGTTCTATGTTCCTTGTCTTGTTTTTATACGTGGAAATAACCATAAAGAAGAGGCATTACCATCTGCTTTGCTGCTGCTCCCTAAGGACCATGGGATCTTACCATCTGCCCTACAACTGAAACTCTCCATATGGGTTGTCTCCTGCATTAAAGGATGAGCTAGTAGAGGGCAGGGATTGTCTGATTTATCTGTTTATATCCCCAGCACTTAGCACAATGCTGTGCACGTGGTAAATATTTTTTTTCATTCATTCATTCATTCATTGTTAGTTTGATATTCACAGGGGAACTGAATACTCTCATGAGGGAGCTAGAAATGACTCAGATTTAGATGTTCTTATAAGAGGAAGAGGGGACAGACTCTGGCAAATCCTTAGGAATTACCTATTACCTCACTGGTGAATTGCAATATGCTTCACTGAAGATAGTTCTCAAGAATTCCCATGAGGATGACATCATAGATTTATAGCATTGCATCAGAATATCCTCTCATATTCCATCACTGATTGAAAAGTAGGCACTGAGTTCTTATTTCATCTTTTTCTGCTTGTATTCTTTTTAAAAAAAAATATATGGTAACAATGGGTGTAGTAGTATCAGTCAACCAATCAGTAAATATTAATTAAGTACCTACTATGTGCCAGGGACAGAGCTAGGTGCTGGAGATAGAAATACAAAGAACAGAATGATCCCTACTTTATTGGAACAAGGAACTTCCAGGGAAGGAACTCTCACTACCAATGCTAATCAGCACCTGTTCTAGGACTATAGCCTTAAAGACTTGCTTGGGAGGTGAGGAGGTAATCACAAACAGGTAGATGACTTGGCCAAGGTCACACAGTCAGTATATACCGGAGGCAAGACAGACCCAAGTCTTCCTGACTTCAAGGCCAACTTTCTATCCACATGTCATGCTGCCTCTGAGTAGGTAGGACTCACAAAATACCATTTAAAAACAGAAAAATAAACAAAAGCCTAGGTCTGCTAAAAAGAAAAAATATCAGGGAAATCCAAGTTATAATGAATAACAGGCTGTGTCTATTCCTGAGCTTATAAAAAACAACAACAACCAGATGGGTGGCCCTGGGTCCTGATGGCTGTTCACCCTTAGGATGAGAAATTTTCTGGGCCTAGCGAGTCTCAAATGCTAAGCATTTTCTATTCTGTGTCAATGGGTGAAAGCAATAACTAGGAATTTTAATACCAAGATCGGGTACCACAAATTAAGCCAGAACAACAGCAGGAAGCACACCCTCAGTTGAAGGGTTGGGATACCCTCCCCTCCCCACACTCCCTGTGGCAGAAGGACAGAGACCTTGAGACTCTGGCAAATGTATGGAAATGAGGGGAAGAGATGGAGGGGGGCAGAGCAGGACAGGGAAAGAGAGACTGATTACAGCCCAGGCTTCTTGTAGCTTCCTATTTTCACTCATTATTTTCCCTGACTAGGCCTCTAAGTGCTCTGTGCCCTGAGGCAAAGGCCCTCTGAAGGACTCTAGAGGGAGAGAGTACTCATCCCCATGAAATTATAAATCCTTCAAATAATAAAAGAGTTGAAGTGGGCTGTGAGGAAAAAGATCCTAAAAGGATTTTAAGGCTAATGCAAATGGATCTACTTAGCATTAAACTACCCTGGACTTATTCTGAAGCAATCAATTCGGTATTCTATTGTAATGACTTTAATTGATTAGATTTCTGAAATACTTCCCACTGTTTAAAACTAATGTAAACCGCCATTGGGAATTGAATAAATACTTGTTGGTGTTGATCATTTTATGTCCTCAGATTAACTTCATTAGATTTTGGACCAATACAGACTGCAAAATCCAGCTGAAGGATCTCCTTGGATGTCCAGTCGTGGGTACTATTAGCTACCTTAGGAACCCTCAATATTTCGAAGCTCAGTCACCTTCTCCACACTAATGAGTGAGTGAGTGAATGAATGTATGGGTGAGGAAAAGCATTTATTAAACACTATATGTAAGCACTGTGCTAAATTCTGGAGGTAGAAATGTCATGACAGGTGCTGCTCTACAGGAGCACATTCTAATTGGAGGAGATGGTATTTCAAGAAACCAGCTCCTGAGCAGGGGCATGTGGGGTGTTAAAGAAGGACTATCCGGGCAGCGAGGTGGTGCAGTGGATAGAGCACCAGCCCTGGAGCCAGGAGGACCTGAGTTCAATTCCAGCCTCCGACCCATAACACTTATTAGCTATGTGACCCTGGGCAAGTCACTTAACCCCATTGCCTAGCAAAAAAAGAAGAAGAAGGATTATCAGGGCCTTTTTCAATGCTACTCATCCAAATTTGGTGTCCACTTTCCATCCAACATTTACCTGTGCCTCCAAGAACTTGTAGCATACAGGGCCATACACCAGTAAAACCATCTCAGAGATGGGCTAAACCAGGTTGACTGACAGGCCTCAAACCCATCAGTGAGTTAGGGGGATGTCTACCCAAAGCATCCCCCACAGGCAGAATGGGTAGATGAGAACAATTTGTTCCAACCACCAAGAAGGCGGCTGAAGCAGGCACTATGGAGCAATTAGAGCTCAGCCAGAAGACACCAAGATCATCTCTACATCCCAGGCCATCTGCAGTCATCCTGACTTTTGTCTTGCCACTGGACTTCCATGACTCTAGAAGAGAGAGTGAGACTGATGCTTTGTGCAACTCTACCTCACTTAAATCAATTCATGTGCAAGTTCATACATCCTCCTGTGATGTCTCTGGTCCTCTTCAAAAACAAAGGGCAAAACAACCGAGCAGATGGAAAAGCCCAAAAGTTCTAAGGGTGCAGCAGTGGGGGTGGATGGCCCCAGAGTCCATAGGTTACAGAAATGAGTCAGATCACAGAGCCAAAGGACTGGCAGATAGATAATAAGCCCGGGTGGTCTTTCACATCACCACAACAGTATTGATTCCCAGTATATCCAAGCCATGTGATCAGACAAGCAACAAGTCTTTACTGAGCACTATACTAGATAAAAGAAACATTGATGAAGACAGGTTGGAGCCAAGTTGTGAAAGGCTTGAAATGCCAATAAGAGGGCAGGTTACAAGTTACCAGAGGATTGATATGTACACTTGTTAAGGGGGATGGGACATCATGAATAATTCGGTACCTCCTTAACACTCTCTCCCTACTGAAATTACTTTGTATACACTTTGCATTTATTCATTTGTATGCATGTTGATTTTCCCTGGTAGACTGGAAACTCCTTGAGAGTAAAGATTTGTTTTCGTTTTTTGCTTTTGCACCCCAACAGCTGGGCACATCATCTTCAAAAATTGAAATCAGGAAGACCTAAATCTGAATCCTGCTTCAGGAACTAGCTATGTGAATGAACGCTTTGGAAGTCACTTCATCTCTTCCAGCCTCGGTTTTCCAGAGTTGGACCAATAATTACAGTAACAGCTAGCATTTTGTGGTGCTTTAAGGTTCACAAGTGCTTTACAAATATTATTTGATCCTCACAAAACCCTGGGACCTGCTTGCTATTATTATCTCTGTTTTACAGTGGAGGAAACTGAGGCAGGCAGAAGTCAAGTTACTTGAGCAGGGTTACACAACCAGCAAACTTCTGAGGTCGAATTTGAACTCTCTGATCTTCCTGACACCGTTTTATCCACTGAACACATCTACCAGCCTACCTCATAGGGCTGTGAGAATCAACTGACAAAATGTACGTAAGGGACTTTGCCACCTTCAAAGCTCACTAGAAAGACCAGCTACTATGATGATAATAAACCAGCGGGCTCCTGACAGCCATCTGTTGAATTGCAATGAAAATCCCACCAGAAGCACGGCCACCGATCTGTGGGAATGGACCAGAGAGATGCACTCTGAGATCTCGCCCAGCTCAGACCCCGTCATCCCTCCCCACCTCTGCCTTTTCAAATTCCTCAGCTCAGTGCTGCCTCTACAAGAAGCCTTCCCCACCTCCTGCTAATTTCTCTAATTGAATATACACAGATGCCTGTGGTCCCCCAGATCCAGCTCAAATGTCTACAGATTTAGAAAAAAGCAGACTTTAAGATTTAGAAGAGGCGGATGATGCAAATGTTATTTAACATCTGACATAAAGCGAAACTGAGGCTCAGAAGGTGAAGCCACTAAATCAAGGTCGCAGAGCTCCTAGGAGTGGCTGTGCGCATCTATCTGTCCAGTAAGAGCCTGAGCCAGAAAGGATGGAAGCGTCGTTCCCCTCCTCCACCACCAGAGGGAGATGCGGGGCGATCGAAAGTAACCCCGCCCAAAGAGCTTTGAAGCAGCAGAGCGTCGGGGGCGGAGCCAGTCGTTTCCTTACTCGCCGGGAGAAACTAAGGTACCCGGATGCAAAAAGAGCAGCGGGCCGTGGACGAGCAGGGGGAGTGGATCCTAGAGGAGTAAGGCCTGAGTAGGTGTCACGTGAGGTAGACAAGTGGGCGGGGGAGGGGCGTACGTACCCACGCACGCACTCCTCTCTGGTTTCCCCGGCGTGACTTCGGCCGCCTCACGTGATGCGACGCCATCCGCCAATGGGGGAGCGCAGCGGAGAATTTCGAACGAGGCTCCGGAAGCCGCCAAGCAAACGGAACCAACGGACCCGGCCGGAGCCGGAGCCGGAGCCGGAGCCGGCGCCGCGGCGGCAGTCGCCGGAGCTCGTAGGTCGAAGCGCGCAGCTGGCGGCGGGAGGGCAGCCGGGCGGAAGACGGGGGGACGGGCCGGGCCGCGAGGGGAGGCGCTGGGGATGCCGAGGCCGTCCGTCCCGGGGGAGGCCGCACGCAGGCCCCGCTGAGGGCCCCGAAAGCCAGGCATTGGTTATTGTCCATCGCGCCTTCGCGCCGGACGCGCCCGCGAGACGGTCTTCCGTCTCCGAGCCTTTGTCCGGGCCCTTCCCCGCCCCTTCCGTCCTCACCTCCACCTCTCGTTAGGTCTCTCCGATGCCTCCTCCATGAAAGGGGCCCTTCCCAGAGGTAGAGGTGGAGAAAGGGCAAACTCCAGGCCTGGGGTGGGGAGGCGAGCTGGATGGAGCTGGGGGACCCCGGCGAATGACGTGGCCTCTGTTTGCCTCACTTATAAAATGGGGACAATAACAACAGCGTGTACCTTGGAGAGCTTTAGTGCGGATCAAGTGAGAAGATATTGGCGAGGCGCTTTGTAAACCTTCATACCAGCTGTTCTTTTAAACGACAGTCTGGAGAGGTTCTATTCAGAGCGGTTTGCAAACGCGAAGGCGCCGTATAAATGCTAACTGTTACTATTACTATTTCATCCTGGGAACCACGAAAGGTTCTTGACCGAGGGAGAGTGACGTGGTCAGACCTGTGCATTGGGAAGAGTATTTTGGCAGCTGCAAGAAGGATAAGTTGGAAAGGGAAGAGACTAGAATTAGGGAGAGGCACCGGGTGATGAGGGTCTGAACTAGGGTGTTGGTTGTGTGATGGAGAGAAGGGAGTGAAGTTGTGGACGTCGAATTGATAGCATTTGAAACCTGATTGGATGTGTGGGAAGAAGGACTCTGAAAAGTTGAAGATGACCCCCGAGCGGATTGTCTGGCAAGCTTCATGAGTCCAGAAACTGGGTCTCATTCCCATTTCTTCCCACACAACTCCCAAGGTAATTGGGGATCCTGGAAGGAGAAGTGAGGAACCCAGCAGAAGGCAGCTTGTCTGGGGAGACTTGGGAGGTGCAGGCTTCCACCCGCCCAAGCAAGTAGGGTAGTCCTGGCCACTTGTGTCTTTCTTCCTTCCAGTTCTTAAATACTATGAATATGCAAACTGAAGTCACAGATCAAAGATCAAGCATGCTTACAAAACGTTTTTTAAATGTCATAAAAATAATCATTACCAATGAAACATATTTCACAATAAATGGGGAAACTACTATGTCATGCTTTGTATTTATCAGTTTCATCCAAAATTGTTTACATAGGTTCAAGTTTACACGTATCAACTATGATCAGGCTTTGGGCAAGTGATGGTGGAAAGTATGTGTCTGAATAAGTTAAGTCAGGGTCTTGACTGTGAATCCCATTTTAGGCGGTTCTGCCCTATTCCAGGGACGGAGGTGATGAGAGCAATGTCAAGGGCCTTTGCAAACCTTAGAGCCCTCTCCAAGTGCTATCTATTGCTATTTCATTTTAGAGTCTATACAAATAATACTCTATGATAGTAACATATTCTTTTTTGGGAGAGTACCACTATCTTATGTCTCATTTGACTGAAATTAATCAAAACATGGAAAGTCATCTCTTTTGTTGCATTTGTCCAGGAATTTTGTATGATAATCCATATGTTTTGTCAGTTCTACAAATCTTTATGAGAATGATCTATACACTTAAAGAGGGCATCCTTCAGAGAAATATGAATAAAGAAACAGGAACCTTTTAAAAAAGAAAATTCTACAAGACTACATCTTTACTGTCACACAACTGATAAAGGTTTAGAGCAGAGGTTCTTAATCAGGGGTCAAGCTGATAGATTTCAGGATGTAAACATAAATGGGGGAAAAAAATCTACACCTTTATTTTTACTAACCTGTAACTGAAATTTAGCATTTCCTGTAACACATTATTCTGAGGTATCCAGAACATACAGAAAAGATTAAGAACTCCTGGTTTAGAGGGTCATAGGTTTTCTAGTCCAGTCTCCTCAGTTACAGAGGAGTAATCTAAGCAAGGCTTAGAAAGAACACAATATCTTACTGTTTACTGTTTGTTGACTATACGTTTTTTAATTTTAAATTTAAGACGGCAAAGTGCTACCTTAAAAACTCCCATGTCTTTGTTAAGACCACTGGCCAAGACTGGTAGGGTTGGATTGTTGGGTGTTTTTCTTTCTGGAGCTCAAAAGCATCTCATATATTTTCACACTACCAGAGCTTGTGCCTGCTGGAGTAGCCTTTGAAAATCCAAGATTACCAACACATGCTTCTGTAAAGCATCTTGTGTGACTTTTGTCTGTTTTTAATACCCGTAAGAGTCCAAATAAAATAAGTGCTTCTCATGTGCAAGTCCTATTCTATTACCCCAGCACATAAAGCCCATGTAAGATATAGTAGACAGAGAGTGGACAGTTACCAGGAAGACCTGGATTTGGGTGCCACGTCTAATGACCACTGAGTGCTTCTAGACAAGTCGTAGCTTGACATCGGTCTCTAGGCAGCCCCTCTAAGACTATAACTGTACAGAGGTTGTTGACCTGCTTTGATACCAAATAAATCACAGGTTTAGTCTCTGGGGTATAAATCTATAGTAAATGTTTCCATTTGTACCTTTTCATTTTTATATTTTTAACATAGCCAGTTATCTTGTTTATGCCCCCTTCTGATAAGGGTTTGTTTTCTTTTTCTTAGTAAGAAGCATTCCTTAAAAATAGATATGGGTATTCTTTTACAAATCTTCCAATATAGCTTAAAATGTTATTGTATATTATATATTACAGTGTCTAATCTGACAAAAAGTAAAATAACCAAGACCTAGAGATACTTCTTCATAAAGTTTGCTGCTGGTCAGTGTAGTTGTAGGAAAAGCCAAAAGGACTGGAGAAAATGGATTGAGATTCTGAGAGGGGAGTTGTAAAGGAAAGAATTGGATTTAGAATATTGAGGTGAAGAAATTTGTTATGGGACATATTGAAGAAGAAATATGAGTTTTAAAGCTAAGAGTCTACAGCATCATAGAAAGGAATGGAGGTTCTAGAATCTGCTTAGCAGAAGTCATTCCCCTCTCCAGAATCTTTGCAGTCAGTGATTCTCCATTGACCATGGAATGAAAGTCCAATGATATAGCCCAGAGTCTTGCTTTAAATCTTATCTGCTACCACTCCCTTACCTTCAATTCAGTATTTGTCCTACAATCATAGATTTGGAGCTAGAGACCTTAGACACCATCAGGTCCAATTCTTTCATTCACAGTTGAGGAAACTGAGTCATATTACTAAATGCCAGATACTGTGCTAAGCTGAGATATATAAATGAAAAGTGATAGCACCTTCACTCAAGAAATTTAAAAACAAGGAGAGAGGACAGGTGAAGTTGTTTGTTTCCAGAAGTTAGATAATGAATAACTACATAGAAAAAGCCAAAATAGTTTGAGAGATTCAAGGAGAGATGAGCACTCCTAGCTGGAGAGATCAGGAAAGGCATCCTTTGGGTTGGTGGTATGTGAGTTAAGCCTTAAAAGAAAATAATGCATTAATATATATTAAGTCAATATATTAAGTTAGGAGTGGTCTGTGCCAGGTAAGAGAACAGATATGTACAAGTGTGGACAAGTGGGAAAGGAACATAAACTGGCCTAGTTTTTCAGGTTAGTATAATATACAAGGGGAAAATATGAAATAAGACTGGAAGGTAATATTGGAGCGAAATCATAAAGTGCCTTGAATGCCAGATCCAAGAGTTTAGCGAGCCATCTAAACTGAACTACTCACTGTTCCCCACACCTACCTGCACATCCTTTCTTTTAGGCCAGAGATTTTAAACTCCTGAGTGCAGCCCTAACCAGATTTTTAAAATATAGTATAACACAAACAATGTTAATTTGTCATTTTTGGTCGTTATGCCCTGCTGGGATCCATTTCTATTTGAGTTTGACACCTCTGCTTTAGGCCTTAGCTTATGCTGTGATCATTGGCTGAAGTGCCTTCCCCAAGATCCTTACCTGTTAAAATCCAACCTATCTGTTAAGGACCAGCTCAAGAGCTACCTTCTCCATGAAGCTTTTCCATATTCCCTCAAACCATATATGATCTCTTCCTCTAAAACCACATAGCCTTTTTTTTTTTTTTTGGCTAGGCAGTGGGGTTAAGTGACTTGTCCAGAGTCACACAGCTAGTAAGTGTCAAGTGTCTGAGGCCAAATTTGAACTCAGGTCCTCCTGACTCCAGGGCTGGTGTTCTATCCACTGCACCACCTAGCTGTTCCCCCATAGCATTTTTCTACCTCTGTTATTAATGTTAGCTAACACTAATGTAATACTTTGGGATTTGAAAAGTGTTTAATATCCCTTGTAAAGTAGCTTTTTGTTTACCCAGATTCCCATGTAACCCTGCCCCATCCCCTAATACAGATACACACCAAGTAAATCCCTTGGAAGTAGTAATTGTGACTTATCACCTTTATGTCCATCCCTACCCTACCCTCTCCCTTTCCCAGTCCCATGGGTTGCACATCAATAAATAAATATCTGATGGACAGAAACTAATTGCAAGGTTGTTTTTTTTTAAGTTGAGTACATTTGATCATCGACATTTGTTTTAATACAAGTACCGCATACTAAGCAATTTTGTTTTATATTTAACACAAAACATTTGTCACTCTTTTTCCATTAAAGTCCTACATACTCTGCTGTCCCATCATGTCATGGAGGTGACCCTGAGTTCTTCAAGGTTATGCTAGCAGACTGTAAGCTTTAGCAGTTCTTAGCATGCCAGAAAGCACTAGAATAAGGGCCCTAGGACAGACTCAATCTGTAATCCAAGAACCAGCCTAGCTCTGATCAGAATTCATCACCAGATTGGACACAGGTTGATAATTTTTTCTTTTTTGCCTACAGCAACTCTTAAAGAACAGCTACCTCTTTGAGAATTTGACATCTGTGTCTGTGGAAGGAGTACGAACACTGATAAAATCACAGGTTGAAGAATTTTTATAAAGTATTTATCACTCTTAATTTAGAATTTGCCCTGAATTATGTACAGTAATGTTTTTATAACAAAAATATCGTTCTCTTTTACTGACACTGAATGCTACTTGTGGGTTTTTAAATATATACGTATATTTAAAGATGTATTTAACATGCGTCATAATTTACTAGTAGTCAGGGCACCTAGATCTTCTCTTGGCTCTGTCTGCTAAGTAGCTGTGTGATCTTGGATTTCTCTGGCCCTTAGTTTTATATATAAAATAAGTTGGCCTAGATATTCCATAAAGATCCTAAAGACATTTAAGATGATATATTTCTACTTGTGCTTACTGTTAACTATATATGGTGTTACAATGGAACTGTAACTTTGAATTTGTCAATTTTTTTTAATGTATTTTAAATATTAGCATGTTAACGTTGGTCAGCGTAGAAGAGCCTAAAATTTAAATTTAAATTGACATTGCTATGCCGGGTTAAAGAAAATTCACTGTGATCTTTTTAAAGAATTGAGTAAAATATCCATCCATTTGGACAGCTGAGTGATAATAGGAAGTTGGAGAAAAAAAAACCAAATATATAAATACCTCTGTCCTAATGCCAGAAACCTAGAAAATCAAGCTGAAATGATTGACCAAAAATTAGAACCTTGGTTATTTCTATATAATCATGTTTTGGTGTCACTGGCCTCAAGGGTGTACTTGGTGCAGGTGTAACCATTGAGTCATAGCAAGCTTCAGATTTAGCGATCTGGGAACTAGCAGGTAGGTAGAAATATAATGTGACTGAGCACTTCTAAAGAATATCCTATGAAGAAATTAAAGCCATCTATAGTCATATGAAAAAATGCTCTAAATCGTTATTGATTAGAGAAATGCAAATCAAAACAACTCTGAGGTACCACATCACACCTATCAGATTGGCCAACATGACAAAACAGGAAAATAATAAATGTTGGAAAGGATGTGGGAAAATTGGAACACTAATACATTGTTGGTGGAGTTGTGAAATGATCCAACCCTTTTGGAGAACAATTTGGAACTATGCCCAAAGGGCTACAAAAATGTGCCTGCCCTTTGATCCAGCAATAGCACTTCTAGGGCTATATCCCAAAGAGATCAAACAAATGGGAAAAGGACCTACATGTACAAAAATATTTATAGCAGCTCTTTTTGTGGTGGCAAAGAATTAGAAATTGAGAGGATGCCCATCAATTGGGGAATGGCTGAGCAAGTTGTGGTATATGAATGTAATGGAATACTATTGTGCTATAAGAAATGATGAACAGGCTGACTTCAGAAAAACCTGGAAAGACTTATATGGTCTGATGCTGAGTGAAGTGAGCAGAACCAAGAGGACTTGGTACACAATAACAGCCACGTTATGCAATGACTAAGATTGTTAAACTGAACCCTTCTCAGCCTTACGAGGATCTAAGACATCTCCAGAGGCCTCGGGATGGAAAATGCTGTCCACATCCAAAGAAAGAACTATGGAAGTCAAATCTCTATCACTTATTTTTACCTTCTGTTGAGTTTTGTTTCATCTGTCTGATGGTTCCTCCTATTGGTTTTAATTTTTACTTACAACTTCACTAATGTGAAAATATGTTTAATGGGTATGTAAATGTAAAGCCTTTATCAAATTGTGCGCCATCTTGGGGAGGAGGAAGGGGGAGAAAATTTTTCAGCTCAAAAGCATATGGAAGTGATTGTTGATAAATCAAAATAAATTAATAAAATTTTTAGAAAAAGAATAAAAAAAACATCCTATGTGCTAGGTGCTGCTATGCACTGGGGACACAAGTTAAAACAGAAGAGGCCATGCCTTCAAGGAGCTAGCATTTTCATAGGGGAAGACAACAGATAAGAGAGTAAATGGTGTCCTGGTAGGAGTGTTGTGATCTGTGAAATAACAGGGATGGTGAATGGAGTCATGGGAAATGATTGGCATATTTTTACAGGCAATAGTAGAATTTACTGTTATCAGACTAGAGGTAGACATTGAAAACAGAAGGACACACACAGGCATATGCACACATGTGCACACACACATGCAGCAAGGCAGGTCCTGGGGTGCCTAGATTTGGTGGCTCCTCGCAGTTAGTAGTGCCAGGCCTCAGGAAGGCAGGTGGAATTGAATAGCAGTATAGCAGTGACATGGCAGAAATGTGGTGTGGTGGATCTGAAAGTGCCTACATGTGGTGGACTCCCCAGTCAGAAATTCAGGGCCCCAGGGAAGAAGCTAAAATTCCAGGGAAAGAAGGATGAGGAGGGTGGAATGTAGCCATGTTAATGACAGATAACATCCATAGCAAAAGCTTAAAAGTGTTATCAGACAAGGAAAGTGCTTTTAAAACCTTTAAGTGGAAAATCCATCTTTTAGAAATGGTAAATGAAATTGGGAGAACTGCAAAATCGGACTTTGTCTAAACTATGTACATTGATTGAATAATCCTATACAGGTAGGATTGCCAAATCTCCAGACACAGCCTATGTTCTCATGTTTCAGTTACGTAGTTTATTTCATAACAAATGGATTATTGCTTGAAACAATTCGCTTAAATAGTTTTTCCCCTTTTTAAATCTCTAGGTAGAAGATGTCTAAGGAAAAATGCCTTAAAAAATCCTTTCAGGATAGTCTGGAAGATATAAAGGAACGGATGAAAGAGAAAAGAAACAAGCGATTAGCCCAAATTGGCAAACCCAAGCCCATCCTGGCTGCAAAGTGCAAGATACTCAGTAAGAAGCTTTCATATTTATTTTCTTTTGGCTTCATTCACTAAATTTGCATTTAATAATAAAAAGCTATTGAATGTTTCTTTCAGCCAACCCATCTACGCAGTTGAAAAGTTACCAAGAGAACAATAGAGCTCTAGCTTTAGCTTTAGAAAATGAAAGATCCAAAGTGAGAGATGCCCAAGACACCATCCTGAGTTTGAAGAAAGAATGCCAATACCTGAACCTTCAGCTGTTTGTATTAAGAAGACAGCTGGCTTCACAGCAAGCAGAAGACTCTGCTCAGGTATTTGCATGACAAAAAAAAAGTTGTTTTCCCAGAAGAAAATTTTAGGACCCTTGAATTAATTATTTTAACGTATTACTAACCTAGCTCAATTTTAGTTTTAAAATTTAATAGCAGAGAGCTTTTTCCTATTGATTGACTTCGTCAGTCTAAACTTCTGACACAATTTCAGCCTTCACCATGCCCTGTACACAGAGATTCAGGTATAGAATTGATGCATGTGCTTTTCTGATTGGTCTTTCTTCACGGCCTAACTCTGTGAGCCATCTTCTCCCTGAAGCCTCCCTTGACCACACCTCATTATTCATTATTCCTGTTCTCTCCCTTTTCACTTTTCCTCGCACTTGTTGTACCTGTTGTACTCCTCCAATAAAGTATAAGCTTCTTGAGGGCAGGGGCTGGTTTTAGTTTTTGTCTTTTTGTCTCCAGTGCTTTGCACATACACTGAAAGTGCTTCGCACATGTTTGTTTGTTTTTAAAGCAAATAGCAAATTGAACACTTGACTTTATTCATTGCTGATCATTTAACGAATTGAACTGAGTGACAGAGATAAGTCATTAAGCTGAGGGAGTAATTATATTTAAGCTGGTTCTAAAGACAACAGGTCAGAAGACTCAGTCACCTTTCTATTCGATTTCATTTTGCAGCAGGAATTTATAAGCACTGATCTTATGGTTCAAATTATCAAAACACTCTTTTTAACCAATTCTTTTGTCTGATTCTGTTTCATATGATTGTATGGACACGACAGGAATCGGTATTGTATTTGAGTTTCAGTAGATTAATTTGGGAAAAGGTTTGACCCACGATGGTCTTTTGATGTTAATAGCCAATATTTTTTCAGCATTTTGATTATTGCCATTTTAGCAGGATCAAGTTTATTGATAATTTGGTTATTTAAATCTTCACTGCATTTATTTCTACAAACCTGGTATCAGGTAATTTAATATTAGCCAGGTCTAGAAACAGCAGGTTTCACACAGTAGTTAACTTTCACATTTTCATATATGAGTTATCTATTATCTACTGCAAATTTAAAATCCCGTATTAGCTGTTCTACCTTTCTTTGACTCAGTACCCTTCTGGGCAGTTTTCACATGCCATCAAGTTGTTGCTTACATAGGGGAAATTGAACCATTTTTTTGTTAGCCAAGACAAATCTATTGAAAAGTACAGTGCATTGCAGAGCCAAATGGAAATGACCTGGAGGCCATCCACTTAGGTCTACTCATGTCACTTCTCTGCTCAGAAATTGGCTGTGGCTCCTTGTTGCTTGCCAGCCCATTTTTCAAGGCCCTCCACAATCTGGGGCCACTTGACCTTCTAGCTTAATCTCATTGTGTCCTCTTCACACTCTCCATTCCAGCTAAAGCGGGCTACTCTGTCCCCAGAATGTGCCCTGAGCTTCCTGCCCCTGTGTCTCTTTCTTATGTCCGAAATATTCTCCTTGTCTTTACCCATGGAATCCCTCTACATCCTGTAAAGTCTTGTTCAAACACTACCTTCTTGATCTTTTCTGTCTTCCATTTTGTCTTTGTTTCTGCTTCTCTGGTGCACTTAATATTGTGCATTATAGTTATTTGTGTTTAGTTCTTCTCCCTTGGTTGTTCCCCACCCTCATCCCCACCTGCTGTATTAATTAAGCTCCATAAGGACAGGGCCCATGTCATAGAGAAATTTTCTTTAACTTCCTGTGCCTAGTGTTTTATTGATAACACTTGCCCCTACTCTCCCAAAATAGTTTTGGTAGTTAACAGTATTTAAGAATTCATTATAACATAACATAAACATTTTTCTCTTTTCTTCAATCAGGCTAAACTGTCAACTTTGAGAGATGTTATTTGTAAGGTCACTCAGAAATTGCTGGAGACAGCTGACCTTCTTAGCCCAGCTCAAGTTTTGTGTTCTACAGCTCTTGTAAGTTCGTTCAATTGTCTTTTTTTCTTGTAAGTTGTTTATTTCAGTCGCTATTTCTTGAACAACAGCAAGATACATACTATTGTTTCTGAGATGTTGGTGCTTTTTTTGTTGTACGTTAATAAAGGTACTTAGAAAAGGAAATGCTTCAACAGCTACTCCAAACCTTCTCCTTCCTTCTCAAGCCCCTCTTTGCCTCTCCCATTTCCTCTCTCTCCCTCTCAGTAGATGACCTTGCTTCCTACTTTCCTGAGTTTCTCTTTTCCCCTTTTCCATATCTCAGAATCCACATACATCTTCACTGATCCTCTCCTTTCATACATTTTCCAAAGAAAAAGGGTCCCTTTTTATCAGGTCTGACCCTTCTGACTTTAATTCCATTTCCTCCAAGAACCCTGGAGAGTTGCCTTATTGATTCCCTCTCACATATCTTCAGTCTCTCTCTTTCTAATGGCTTCTTCTCTGCTACCTGTGACATGCCAGGTTTCCCCATATGTTCAGTTGATACTTCTATTCCCTCAAGTTACCATCCTATATCAATCTTCCCTTTTCCTGCCAAATTTCTAGAAAGAATTTTCCACTCCTACTTCTCATCATTTATTCATTGCTTAACCCCAATGTTGTACTGAAATTGCAAGGCTACCAGTGACCTCTTAACTTTGCAAGTCCAATGAATTTTTTGGAGTGAATCCTTCTCCCTTGCCTGTCTGCTGTTATTGACACTGTTGACTGCCCCTTGATCATGGAGCCTCTACTCGTTTGGATTCCTGTGCCACTGTTTCGTCCTGGTTCCTAGGCCTGCTCCCTAAGTATGGGAGACTCTCACACTTCTGTCCTAGGCCTTTACTTTTCACTCCACACTCTGGCCCATGGCAGTTTCATCAGTTCCCAGTGATCATCTCTACATAGATGATTCCCAGATCCATATGTCCTTGTCCACATAAGCTGTACATGATAGAAATTCATGGTTTCACATAGAATCCACTTGTTCTCTTCTACTTTATATATAGAAATGTTCCCTTTTTGGGTGTTAAGTTCAATATTTAAAAAAAAAATAGATGAGATTGCTTTTCTTGGGTGTTCCCAGTATTTCTTTATTGCTAGTTAATCAGTAAGGGGGAAAATATTTGAATCATTTCCTAGTCTCTAAAATTTTAGTGAAATTCAGCCACAGAGGTTGAGCAAGAGTTGTATTTAGAAAGGCTTATTATTAACAAGTGGAGACATTTATAGAAAGTAGTGAAAGTTCCATGCTCTGTGTTCCAGCTTTTTGGTAGTCATTCATGAATGACTAGAAATTAATCAGCAATGAAAATATTGTCATATATTGTTGGAATTTTTAAGGGGAAGTACTTTTCCTGCTCTTGTTCTGTCTAACCACTGGTGTTCTTCTAATTGTAATATCTATAGAAAGATTAAAAGACTTTAAAGGGAACGTCTCCCTCTGCTAATTTCTGACTAGGCAGATAACAGTACGGGCTTAGTTGTGCTGTTTTAAAGACCTTTTTGGATACATTTTTTACACTTTTCTTTTTAGCCAAAGTTTCATTGTAATTTTAGAATTATTCAAGAAATATACCAAGTACTCATTTTTAATTTAATCTATTTACTGTCAATAATGGTGTCTGTGAATGAACCTTTCAAATGGTAACTACAATGATAGTAGAAAATTGAACTTTTCAAAATACTTGACTTTAAACCTTTGGAAAATTGAACTGTGCATGTATATGGTGTTATCCAACATAATGAATTTATCGTTATCTTCAGTGTTCCTATAATGCCATTTTGATCTGAATTTATAGGCTAGCTTCCTAAAATGACATCTCTTTGAAGAAAAAATATATAAGTACATAGTAGAAAAGTTGTTATTCCCTTCCACTCTTGTTTTGGAGACAGAATATTTAGACCTCCAGAACTTGAGTAGGATTTTTATAGCTAAAGAGGGAACCCACATCAATGGATCACACTTATTTGCCTTCTCTTGCATAGTTGAACTGATACAGTAACTGGTAATGTTTCTATATGAATATTTCCATGTTAATGTTTTTCATACATATTAACAGAACCAGAGAATATGTACCTCAGAAATGGAGGAATGCTACAATGAAGATATCTCCAGTGACTCAGCACTAAATTATTTACCGTAAGTATAAAAGTTTTTCAAAATTGTTAATAAATTCACCCCTCATAGAAAGAATTCTTCTGACAAAAAGTTCTGCTATTTGGTTTGCTATATGTAGGATCTGAATGTTCTAATGAAATGAGATTTGTTGGAATCACTGAGCAGAGAAAAAATATTTTAGTTTTTTTACACTTTTAATTGTCTTCTTTGTTGGGTCAGCACAAGAAGGCTTTCTAGGATTGGCATTCTTTTCCCAAAAGTCATGCTGTTTATATACTGTCCAGATTGACAGCTGCATGGAAGTGATTATTCTAATGATGTTATTTCTTATGGCATAAATTGTCCAGTTAATAAAAGAAATATTATATTTAATTTTAGTTCTTCAATAACTAGATAATGCATGCTGTATTTTTGGGCTGGACAAGTTACTGTTTAAATATATTCTCAGGGCAGCTAGGTGGCACAGTGGATAGAGCACCGGCCCTGAAGTCAGGAAAACCTGAGTTCAAATCCGGCCTCAGACCAAACAGTTGACACTTACTAGCTGTGTGACCCTGGGCAAGTCACTTAACCCCAATTGCCTAAAAATAAAATAAAAAATAAAATATATTTTCATCTCCTATCTATTTTCTGCCATTCTTTCTCCTCCATGTATCATTTTAAAGCAATTTAACCTAAGATCAATAAAGCATGCATTATAAATGTAAAGAATGGAGTTGAGTTAGGATTATATTTCTGAGATGATTATTTTTTGATTTAACATAAAACTACCCTTGTGGGTGATCAAAATCCGTATTTAAATATTGATTTTTATGGGTAAAAAGGTACACACAGATAAACAGTATACTAAAATTACAGTTAATTTGAAATTACAGATATTAGTGAGTGGTTGGATATGATGAAGAAAATTACATTTTGTGGATCAAATTTAAATTTTGCATTCATTTTGAAATGAAATGTGTTGTTTTGATATGCTGAATATACAATATAATTCAGATTCTACTAATTCAGAATTTGATCATTTAATCATGTACAAGTTTTATCTTTGAACCAATTATAAAGAGTTTACTGAGGAACATATAAGTTAAGTAGAGGTAAATTAAAACATAAATTCAGTGCTGGAGAGGACCTCAGAGGACATGTAGTCCAACCACATCATTTTAAAGATGAGGAAAATACGGCATCAAGAGAACACACAAGTAGTCAGTAGGATTTGGAGCTCAGGTCCTCTGCCTTCTACTCCAGTACTCTTTCATCCTTCCCCTAGTTTAAAAAAGAAATACATGTATGTGCTCTGCCTGAGCACCCAGCCTGATCCCCTTCGCAAATGCATGTAGGAAAACTGAGGCTGAGAGCTGACTGGCCTGATTTCATACAGTAAGCAGGAGAGTTAAGACTCAAGCTCAGGTCCTCTCAGTCCAAATCTTGCATCCAAATAAGGACAGACTGCCTCAGGCAGAGCAGTTCAGAATAGGTCCTATTCATTGATACACACACCACCCCATACACAAAGAATGTGGAGAATTGCATGTGCTAGTGATGAGAAATTAGCCTCGAGGTGATTACTATAAAAAATGTTTATAGATAGTGTCTGGCTAAAGAACTTTCATTTCAGTGGGGTTGGGAGGTGGTGCCTAAAAAAGAAATCCTACAGAAATTAGGAAAAGATTAAAGTTATTATTGCAGTGGGATTCATGAATAAATTGCCTTTGTTATTCATAGGCAGCTTCCAACGTGTACACCCGTTCTGGATGCCGACCTTCCAGCAAAAGCTGACTCATTTCAAATAGAAGGTAACTGCCACCTTGCCAGTACACATACCATCAATGGCTTCCTGTCACTTTTAGAATAAAGTCTAAACTCCTTAGCTTAAGATTCAAGGCCATTCACAGTTTGGGCCCGTCCACGTTTTCATCCTTAACTTTGTTTTCCTTAAGGCAAATCTAGACCTGGCTCATTCCTGCCTCTTCACCTTTGTTCATATGATCTTTCTTGCCTCAAATGCCTTCCTTACTCCTTGCCGTCTACCCAAATTTAATCCAGGTTCTACTATCCTCAATGACCTCTCCCTCCTTTGAATTTCTGTAGCATTTGATACTTATCCTACTCATTTGATATTTAAACGAAAATTCTGGGTAGTATACCATCAATTTTTCACATGCCTTTTCAGTAATATTTTATGTTCCTCAAAAGGTCATATCATTACTTTCTTGTGTTTCTTTTAGCTGCTTTTGTAATGTTATGTAGGTAGATGTTGCTTAATTTTTTATTGGTTGATTTATTAACTAGTTCAACTAGATTTATTTCTTTAAGTCAGTCAGAGGAATATAATAGACCTTTGAGAGTTTTTTCCAGGGGCCAGACAAAATCTTTTCACAAGTCAGATTCATGTAACTGAGAGACTTAATGATAATGTCAGGTTTTCCAAGATTATTCCTAAAACAGATACTTTTACAACCTATTGTAAATATAGAAAACACCTCTCTGGTCATGTCTAAGAACAAGCCATTAGGTGGGGGGGTGAGGAGGAAGGAGAACTTTTTAAATTAAGTTATCTGTTAAATCCTTAGGAGAAAACTCTCCTGTTTGTCAAGATGCACTGGGGGTTAATATTGAGACTTCTTCTCCAAATGAAGAGAAGCTACCTGACAATGTCTTACCAAGAAGCGTGTCTGTTCGGAGGTGCAGTGTACGGAAAACGCACACTGATATATGTCACATTGAAACTTTAGATCATTTAGAAATTGGTAATTTGACAGCGAATTTTGCAAACCGGACAGCCTTGAATGTGAGGAAAACCTAGTTAACAATCTTGTCACTGAAAATCTAGACCAAAATATCTGTCAGTGGAACAAGAATCAAATTAATTTATCCCCAGGACTGATTGAGCCAGATGCTCTTACTGAAACAGAATGTGTGGTGGTGGAACCTAAAGTGAAACAAACTGAAATGAAAAATAAATATTCACAAAGAGGAAAAAGAGAACAGAAAGGAAAATCCATTGGGACAAGGAAATCTAAGTGTGCATCAAAGGGTAGGAAGAGCAGGAGTGGAGGTAATAAGACTCCTTCCAAGGGAAAATTAGATGAGTCTATTGACTCCAGTGATGCCTACAATTTTAATTGTGAAGAACGTGTTCATATCACTCCTTTCCGGCAAAAGAAAGTGAATGATGATTGTGAGCAAGAAGAAATCAGCATTCAGTCTGAGATGAACAGCTCTGAATCAAGTATTTCAGAACGGGATTCTGGTGAACTCTATGTACCTTTTAAACAAAAATCCAAATACATGCAAAGTCTGGGTTCTCTTCTAAGCCCGGTCCAAATGAGACCCCGTTCCAAAAGGATGCTTTTAGAGCAGAAGAAGTGTGTGACTGAAACCCCTGAGAGCTCTGTGAGAGGGAACACCAGCCGCTGCATCAGTAAGTGAACCATTTGTTTGTCTGCAGTTTTGATGTTGATGGTAAATGATAGCTTGGTGCTGATATACTCACCATATGTTTCCCTAGGGGAGGTTACAGAATCACCATCTGTCTCTGGGGGAGGTTGTTCAGGCTGATAACATAGGGAAACCATTCCTGTCTTTCTTTGGCCTACTTCAGGCTGGTCTTTAAATACGATTCCAGGCATATTGCAGAGGCCCTGTTAGTAAAGACCACAGAAGCAAAAAAAGAAAAAGAAAGTTTGGTGAAGAGATAAAGTCAGGCCAAAATCAAAGGATTTGCATATATTGTACAAAATTACAAAGCTTATAAATAATGGATTACAAACATAGCTCAGCTTATCGACTTGATGATATGCATAAATATTTATGCTTCATCATGTCAAGTGACTTATAATCTTTATGAATCAACCATCTACTCTCACATTTTCCATACTGCTTTATTAACAACTTCTCTTGGCTCAACCCCCAACTCTGTTCCTGATCACATTTTCAGAAAATTATTTCAGTTCCTGTTTGTTAAGAAGATGAAAGTCATCTCAGGAGGCCCCTCAGTTTGTTCCTGTCCCCAAAACCTGAGTCTTGGAAATAGAAAGGTGCTCAGCAGAGTCCCCTGCTGCCCCTCTACAATGCAGTGTCTCTTGGCAGGTGATCAGTCCAGCCTTTTCTCAAAGAGGCTGATGATGGGAAGTGTGGGACAAAACCTCTTGGCAGCCCATCCCAGCTGGAGAATATTCTGTTCAGATGTTCTTTTTGTAATGGCCATCTAGGTCTGCCCCTGCAAAACCTGGGAGTACTCATGGCCTCTCTCAGTGTCTCCCTCTCTAGCTCACCCAGCTTCAGTTTATTTCAACCAGGTAACACGATGTAGTCATTTCCTCCCTCTCCCTTCTTATTTTCTTTTCTGTGCCTCTTCCAGTCTATTAATGTCTATCTCTAAGCAGAGCATTCAGAATAAAGTAGTCAGTCAATAAAAGTTTATTAGGCACCTACTGTGAGCCAGGTAACATACTCAGGGCTGGGAATACAAAGAAGAGAACAATATTCCATGTTTGGCCTAATGAGGAATGAGTATGACAGATGGGTGGGCACTGTCTGGATACAAGATGCCTCCTACAGACACATTAGACTTCTATGATTGGAGCAGTGTTGACTTCTTGAGAGCTTTCAAGTTCCCTGAAGCCTTTATAACCCCTCCAGACTTTTTTCACATGGACAGCTGTCTAACCATCTCTCTTGTCCTGTGCTTGTGGAGTTGGGTTTTTTTTAATTACATAACTGCGTCTCATTTGACACTTGTAGTGTGTCTAAATCTCTTTTGAATATTCACTCTGCCATGCAGTGGATTAGGTGTCCCTCCTGGATTCGTTTCATCTGCATGTATGATGAACATGCCATCTATACCTAGATCCAAGTCATTAAGTAGCCAAGGGTAAGCCCCTAGGACATTCCCGAGACATCCTCTCTACTTGATTTTGCTCTTTTAATGCAATTATGGGTCCATCCTGGCCTTGCTCCTGATCTCCCTAATTATACTATAACTAATCCATATCTGCCTGTCTTGCCCACAAGCGTTGTTTGAGTGACTTTGTCCTGTGGCGTACTGAAAGTAGGAGCGCTTGCTGCACCAGACTTGTAAATGAGGTTGGTCTGACATGATCTGGTCAGGATGGTCTTCCTTACTAGTAATTCCTGTGTCCCTTTCTCAGTGTTCACAGATCATCCCGTTCGTGATACTTTCTAGGACTGGGCCAGGAATGGAAGGGACACCTACTAGTCTGTAGTGGTGGGATAGACCCACTTTTCCTTCTTGAAGACTGAGGGGATTGCTTTTCTCTAGGCAGGTATTACCTGTGCCAGGCCTGAAGTTTTCTGAGGTCACTGACAGTGAAAACCTGAAAGATCATCCAGCTTCACCCACTTATTTTTACAGATGATGTAACTGAGGCCCTGATGAATTAGGTGAATTGTCCAAGGTCACAAGGTAACATGACCAGGGTTCAATTCAGACATGGAGCCTCATTGTGTCTGCTAGTGTCTGTCTCCGCATGACATCACATTGTATTCTCTCATTGTTCTGTGTGATACTGGCTCTTCTGTATGCTTGTCATCGTCACATTGTGACACTGTTTCCTGTTGTGCGTCTGTCCGTGTCACTATGGGACTTTTAAGACTTCAAGGTGTAGTAACATGAATTCTCTGAGTGCTGCTATTCTGTCTTACCATCATTTACCTTCTCTGTTAATTACATTTAATTAATCCTTTTCATTCTTAAGATCTTCCTCCTTGGTTAAAAAACAGAAATAATATAATTGAGTAATTCCGCCTTCTCAATGCCCAGTTCAGCATTTATTGACAATCTCCTATATGTACTAGACAGGAGCGGGAAACCTATAGCCTTCTAGGTCCTTGGGTGTGGCCTTTTTACTGAGTCCAAGTTTTATAGAAATCCCTTTTATTAAGGGGATTTGTTCTATGAAGTTTGGATTCAGTCAGAGAGCCACACTTGAGGGCCTAGAGAGCCACATGTGGCCTCAAGGCCACAGGTTCCCTACCCCTGGACTATTAGGATATCGAGACAAAAATGAGAGTTTCTAACTTCTGCTGGAGGAAAGCCTGCAGTGCATCCACAGAGGAATCTAATTTAATGTAGTGAAAGGGGAGGCGGCACAAAAGAGACATTAAAGTGCTCTAGAAATTTAATTTATTATCCTTATGAGGTCATTTTTCTCCTTTCAATATGAACCTGTGATTTTATCAACCTAAGGAATCCTGGTGTGGAAACACCCTCCATTAACACAAATTGATTACTCACCTCTGATTGATAGCATCCGAGCTACCTGCCTGGGGCACTGAGAAACTGAATGAATTGCCTTGAAACCAGGGGTCCAGGTCTTTTTCACTTCAAGGCTACCCTACTCTCTCCTATGTCAAGCTGCTCCACGGATGCCTAAAAGTAAATGCAGTCCTCTTGGTGTGACCATCAACCAGGGCCAAATATAGCAGGATTATTACTTGCTTTGTATGGACACTATAGTTGACATTTTCAGAGTGTTTCAAGCTTTAAAAAAAAAATTAAGTCATCTCATTTGAACCTCATAGCAACCCCATGAGGGATTTAGTGGAGGTGTTATATATCATCCCCATTTTTCAGATGAGAAAATTGAGGCTTCAAGATGTTAAAGGGACGTACCACTTGTACTTCTGCCACCAGCTATCAATAATGGTTGCAGTGCCAGCAAGTTGCTATTTTTGATTTTTTTCTTGCCTCCTTCCAGTTTCATCTAAGAGTTGTTTGGGAGATTGTCTACTTCTTTGGGTCTTGGACCAAGCTTTCTACAGACTTTCTCACCTCTCCTATTTTGCAGTTTTGTAACCTTCCACCCCCATCTCTGTAATGTTTTGTTAACTAGATCAAAATCAAGTGTTGCCTGGGGCTTCTCTGTTTCTCCTGTGGCCTAGGAGATCAAATGTTCAGTAATGGAGATGATTTCTAGGCTCTTTTGGCCTCTTTGTTATAGCACTGATTTATATTAGTTAAGTATTTGTAGATGAGACAGCATAGAGGAGTAGTTACAGAGCCGTCCTCCAGGTCAGGAAACCCTAAGTTCAAGTCTCACCCATGTCACACACATGGGCATGGGCACCCAGGAAAGTCACCATGCCTTTGCACACCCCAAAGACCACTAGGTCCCGAGCAGTCATACATCTGCCAATCAGTTTTCTCACACAGGGAGCACCTAACACCAATGTGATCACATCTCAGGATTAAAAAGATCATTTTAAGAGAAATGATTCCTATTTTTCAGGGTGAGCTGATCTCAATGGGCTGTGTTGGATGTGTTGGGATTGCACATAATGTCATCTTCCTTTAAATCTTTCTGCTCGCTTGAGATTGATTTTAATTTTTGCCCCAGTTTGACAGAGCAAACTTCCCTTCACCCCATCTTTTGTCTTCCACTTGTGGCTGATGACTGTCCTATCCAAGACCAACCTCACTCCACTGGACTCTTTATCACTCTCCTTTCCATCTCTTCCTCAGACTTGGGTGCTGTCATTCATCCCCTCTCTTTCTTATATCTTCAGTCTCTTTCCTTTGGCTCCTTCCTCTCTGGCTCCGAAACATTCCTAATCCTACCACTTCCCCATCTTTTCCTGTCACTCTTGAATAAGCACTCTCCACTTACTTTCATTACCACTCACCTGTTTGCCTCTAAAACCCATTAAAATGTTGGCATGTGATCAGACCCTCAAAAAGGCCACTAAATGGCCTGATTACTAAGTCCAGTGGCGTCTTCTCAGTCTTCCTCCTCTTTGACCTCTATAGTATTTTACAGTTATAATCTGCAGCAGTTGGGTCCAATAAAAACAAACCCCTGCAGGCCACGTTTATATGTTATATTTTACTTTGTTAAACGTTTCTCAATTACATTTTAATCTCAGCTTCACTCGGTGAGCCTGCATCTCTAGTCTGCAGTATCCTCTTTGATTCTCTGAGAGTTCCATCACACCAGATTTTCCTTTGTCTTACTTTTCTAATCATTTCTCCATCTCCCTTATGGTTTCTTTTTCTTTTTTTCTCGCCACTCTTAGCATTACCTAAGGCTTTGTCTACGCTGTTTTCTCACTCTTGCTATACTTTCTTTTTTGGTGATCTTGTCCATTCCCGTGGCTTCAACTATTGATTACCTCTATTCACATGACTCTGAAGTTTATTTATCCAGCCCTGACTTGTCTCTGTCTCTCTATCTGTGTATGTGTCCCTCTGTGCCTTTTCCCACCCTCACTCCCCATAATAGATCACTTGCTAAGTTCTGTTGTTTCTGTTTTCCTAATGTCTCAAATCCAGCCCCTCCCACTGCTGTCTCCTTAGTTCAGATCCTTATTTTTGCTTCTTGAATGGAACTGTCGTAATAATCTTCTGACAGGCCTGCCCCTTTTTTCGTCTTCACCCCACTGATGGATCCCACACACAATATTCTTTTTATTGGTCTTTCTAGAACACAGATATGATCAGGTCACACTACTACTTAAAAACCTTAGCTAAATGTACCCACTTTTACTCTCCACCAAGCAGATCAGACTCCTTTTTACTAGAATTCAAGACCTCACGCGGTCTTGAGTCCAGCCTACATTTCAAGCCTCATCAAGTACTCTTCACTTACTCAGTACTGCAGCCAAACTAAACTGTTCACCCCTGAGTATGTCTTCTTTTCCTGCCTTTGCTCACCCTGTTCCCTTTGTCTTGAATAAGTGACATGACCCCTTTATCTATTTACTGATGTTTCCCCCCATGTTTCTGAACTCAGCTGCCACCTCATTCACGGAGCCTTGACTCCAGCTAGATCGGGTTTCTCCCTTTTCTTAGACCATTCATACCCTTTACCTACTTATCCCATTTAAAGTTGTGTTCTCTGAGTTCATGTCTTATCTTATTTGTGAAAAAAGAACCAGAGTTGCATCAGGTAAACATTCGGACTTCTCTAAACTCAGATTGCATAACTTACCGCAGTTTTAGGAGTTTTACTTTTTCTGGATTACTCTGCAGTGAATGTTCTTTTCCATAGGTTCACCTTCTGAAACTCAACAGTCATTTCATCTCAGCTTGAAGGATGTCACCAATATCCATCAAACTTCTGGTGCAAAAAGCAGAAAACATTCCATTCCATTCAGCAAGAGTGAAGAAAGCTCTGCGCTGCCTCTGCATAAGCGCAGGTGTACCCTCAGTGTGAATTATAAGGAGCCTACACTTACCACGTAGGTCATGATAGTCTTTTGGTGGGGTGAGGGTGTTGAGACAGAAGGATTGAGGGTCACATTGTGATTTAATTCAACTGTGATTCTGATTTGAACTACAAAGGTTCTAGATGAATCTTAGGATTACTCCTAACATCTTACTTTATTCTCATAGAAAACTGAGAAGAGGAGACCCATTTCACAGATGTTTGCTTTTTGAATTCTCCAATTTTCAGACAGAAGAAGGACCCCAGACAACGCCGATCTTCTAAAAAGCACTCGCTGTCCAAATACGATGAAGCTTTTGTTGGATGTCGTTGAAATTCATCTTTCACCCTCTCGCTTGAGAAGAATCGATGGGGTTATTGGGACAAGAGTAGGCAGAACTATTAGCGTGAAAAGTTCTGCTATAAAAAGCATCGTAGTGCTTTAAAAACCTATCTTCAAACATTTGACATTGATTTTTTTTTCCTGTTGTAGATAAATAACTGGTCTTACCCTGTTTAAAGCTTAAATGTATTATACTACCCAAAGCCCCTAGTTTAAATGAAAATTGTATTTCCTGTAGTAATTGTAGAGAAAATGGTGGTGGTTAATTAGACAAATTAAAATCTTTAAATTAGTAACTTCAAACATCTTTGTTTTCCCTGTGTATGGGGAATCATAACTGTGAAATGTCTGAAAAGACAGGTGAAGAGAATCATTCAAAACTCTCAATTGTTCAATTTCTTACCTGCTAACAGTAAGATTTCTGGTCACTTTGTATGATTTGATCAGTTTGACTTTTTGTAGCCTTGTATATATCTGCTTAAACTTTTAAGAAATCTGTTGCTGACTGTGTGCCAGAAGTAATAAAAAGTTTTGTGACCTAGCCCTGTGAGGTGCATTTTCTTTTTAGTTGAGCAAAATACACAATTACATGATTGGAGCAGTTGTCTGCAGCTATAGTTGACTACATACCTGGACAAACTCAAAGGAATGGCCCTTCACTTTTAGTTGTCTGGTATAGGGCTGGCCTAGGCAGCTTCCTTCATTCGCGCTAGGAGCAGATCCCGCCAGAGGCAACAAATTTTGCCTTACAGCAATTTGCTTCAATGCAATAAGAAAATATCGCTGATGTAACAGAAAGTTGGCTGGATGAGTATTCATATTTTCCCATTTGTTATTTCAGCAGATCCTTAAAAACAGATCTGTCACACAAAGGCACAGGGTTGTGTGTTGAACCCTTCGGATGTGATAAAAATAGAGAGCAATGCCTATTTTTCTTTCTAAAAAATTTTTTTTAGGCAGTTGGGGTTAAGTGACTTGCGCAGGGTCTCACAGCTAGAGCGATGCCTGTTTTTGCCCGTCTTCTGCCACTTTGTTAAAAGTTAAGAAAAATTTGGCTTAAAAGATGTCTGTGGATTCAGCATTGCTAAGTTGCCTTGTTCTAATAGGTCGGTGATGTTTTTGTAAATAAGTTTCCAGAGATGCATGTACTTCACAAAACTAGGATTTCATTGCTGTAGGTGTACCCTCCATCAGTGGGGTGTAGGATGTGTTCAAAGAAGACTGGCACCTCTGGTGTGAGGGCTGCCGAGCCCTTTCCAGGGTTGTTTTCTGCCTTTGTGTCCACCTGATTCATTGGATTCTCACCTGTGGCTCCAAGGAATTGTAGCATCCACAGCAGCCACACCCTGGTAGGTCGTTTCAGCGGATGGGCTAAACCAGGTTGAGGGTAACCAAGGAATCTCAAACCCTTCAGTGAGTTAGGAGGGTTGCTACCCCAAAAATGTGAAGATTTCCCTTGGTAGAATGGGTGGATGAGAACAATTTGTTCCAGTGGCCACGAAGACAGCTGAAGCAGGCACTGGAACCCCTAGAACTTGGTAAAACATCAAAGACGTTAAGGTCATCCGCTGCATCCAAGCCACGGCCAGTTGTCTTTGACTTTGTCTTGCCACTAGACTTGCGTAACTCTGGACGACAGAGTGAGATCAACATCCAGTTTATGCTTGAGTCAAAAGACATCACCCATATTATCATTTTTGTCTTCCTCAAAGGCCTGTGTGACTGGCAGGTGGGGATAAACTTGGAGCTGTTGTCAGAACCCTGCACGTCGGCGGACCAGGACATTGGGTCATCTCATCGGATTAAAGCAGCAGTGGGATTTGGCGACCCCTGCGTATCTAAGCAGCCTTTTTGAAGGATCATACTGCTCACCTTTGGTTGTGAGGGAGGGGCTAGACGAGGTGCCCTGATAATTATCTGCTTCACCCAACGCTGGCCCACCTACTGCAGCAGGTGGGGATCCTGCCCTGAGGTCAAAACAAAAAGATTTACAAAAACTTTTGTAAAGATGTTTCCACTCAGCGTCTACTAGTACACGGAATGTGCACACTCTTACCACAACACAATCCAGCAGACCTGAAGACCACTGTTACAAGAGAACTCAGCAGATACTGTATCCAAGTGAATGAGGGAAACAAGGCTGGTAAACGGAGGCCACCTTACCGAAGTTGCAGCTGGATACATGTTTTTTCTGGACAGACTGCAGGGAAGGGGAGTGCTGCGAAGCTGGCCTAGCTTTTGCGATCAAAACTAATGTAGTCAACAAGCTTGTATGCCTATCAAAAGGAGTGAATGACAGGCACATGACAACGTGATTGCAACTTGCAGGAAAACATCACACCATCGGTGTATATTCTCCTACCATGATGAACACTGATGAGGCCAGAGCAAAATTTTATGAAGAGACCCTCGTAATCAGCATGCCAAAAGAGTGCAAGTTTATAATTCTGGGTGACTTCAATTCAAGAGTAGGCAGAGACCACCCAACGTGGCAGGGAGTCCTTAGGAGGAAATAGCAACAGCAATAGTCATTTACAACTGCAGGTGGGGGTGGGAAGGGTGTTTTCCCCTGGGGGTTCCCTCTCTCTTCATCATTGTTTGCATTCTTGCCAGAGTCCTTAATAGAATAAACCTTCACCTGGAAAATGATTACCTGAGAGCCAGTGTGGCTTCAGAAAAGGCTGAGGAATTGTCAATGTGTTTGCTGTCCAACAACTCCAGGAGAAATGCCAGGAGCAGAAGAGAGGTCTGTATGTAATGTTTGTTGATCTGACCTTTGAAAATATCAGCTGTGAGGGCTTGTGGAAAATTACGGTGAAATTTGGTTGCCTGGAAAAGTTCATCAGTATCGTACATCAGTTTCATGACAGCATGTTTTCTTAGGTTCTGGGTAATGGGTAATGGACAATGCTCTCATGCTTTTCCAGTCACCAGTGGAGTGAAGCAGGGCTGTGTGCTTGCTTCCATGCTTTTTAGCATGATGTTTTCAGCAATGTTGTTGGACACTTTTGACAAGCATCATTGTCAGCTATTGAACTGATGGTAAATTATTTCACCTGAAACAGCTACAAACCAAGACTAAAGTGGAGGGAGAGTTGGTGCATGACCTTTTGTTCTCAGATAATTGTGCACTCAGGGCAGCCTCTGAGGCTGAGATGCAACCAAGTATGGATGGATCCTCTGTTCCTTGTGCTAATTTTGGCCTAACACCAAGAAAACAGAGGTTCTCTACCAGCCAGCACCACACAATGTTGGACCCATTGGTTACAGCAGATTTTGAATGTTGTGAATCAGTTCACTCACCTTGGCAGTATATTTTCCAGAGATATACACCTAGATGAAGTTTGATGCATGTACTGCCGGAGCTAGCTCAGTGTTGGGAAGGATCCAAAGGAAAGTGTGTGAAAAAAAGTTGTAAACTGCCTACCAAACTGAAGGTCTAAAGAGCCATCGTACTGACTTCATTGTCTACGTCTGTGAAACCTGGACAGTATACCAGTGCCGTGCCAGGAAACGGAATCATTTCCATTTGCATTGTCTTAGGAAGATTCTGAAGATCACCTGGAAGGATAAAAGTACCAGACACTGAGGTCTTTTCTTAAACTAAATTGCCAAACATTCAAACTCTACTACAGAGAGCACAACTCCAGTGGGCTGGCCACATTGTTCAAATGAATTTTATGGAGAATTCACGTAAAGCAAGTGCTCCCATGAAGGTCAGAAGAAGCGATACAAGAACACTCAAGGCCTTTCTGAAGAACTTGAAATCTTTTACATAACATGGACGACACTGGCAAAGGGCTGCCCAGCATGGTGTGCCCGCATCAAAGAAGGCACTATGCTCTGTGAGCAAAACAGAAGTTCAGTAGCTTAAAAGCCTGTGAGATGTGCAGATTTAGAAACATCTCCACTCCTATGTCCGTGTGAATTATCTGTGCCTGACCTGTGATAGTCTTCTGAGCTTGCACTGGTCTGCTCGGCCATGGTCTGACACACTGCGCCTCGACTCTACCATCGTGATGTCATTTTGGTCTTCTACAAGAATGAAGACGAACCAACCAACCCTGCACTGGTGGAGCTCGCAATCCATCCGTGCTTTTCCATCTTGTTCTTCCTACCCCACAGAGGATCTGCCCAACGGACCAGGGGACTTCCCCTTCAGCTTTTGGTTTATGGATGCCACTCCAACATTTAGGGCTATCTGTTATACATTGTTCTCGTTATGTGACTGTTTTCTGATCATATATACACACATACATATACATAGGTATATGTACGTATGCGCTAACCCCATGCCCCTACGTTGCTACTTGCTCAGAAATTGAGAATTTTCTACCGCCTCTACTGTGTATCTCTCTATTGCCCTCTGATTCACTCACCTGAAGCTTCAATTCTTCAAAGATCATGGTGTCCCAAGATCCCAAACCATCTAGCCAAGGAATGGACGAGCCAGCTATTCCTGGCTCCAATTGTCAGATTGTTAATGCATGAGCATTTACACCTCAGAAATCAATCAGGTCTTGATTTATATTGATCAAAGTGATAAAGTGTAGTGTGTCCTCTTTTCCCTAGAAAGTCACTTGTTCAATATTTGTCGTGCATATGGCATAACTAGTTGAACATTTGTTTTTAAAAGTGAGCTTTTATAACAAGGATTGGCTTGGGCTTGTTAAAATGCATCAGAGTTTCTCAAATGCAATCCATTTTTCACATAATCATTTATTGTATGCAATCAGTTCTTTTTCAGTCCCTGTCTCAGACACCCTGATAAAATGAACTACATTTTCTGGGTGACAGGTATTTTTCATCCATTTAGTTTTTCCTGTATGAAATTGAATGTTGTCAGTAATCATAGATCTCATCAGGACGACTGTAATGTTCAAGGGTGTGATGTAGTCAGCATGCTGTCATGCATCATAGATATAGTATGCATGTCCCCTTCCCACACACTACAGTTTGATGCCACTGGCCTACTTGTTGTGATACTTTTCTCCATGCATTTTCAGTGGCTGTCCCCCATGTCTGATGCTCTACCTCCTCACTTCCACATGTTGACTTCCCTGTCTTTCTTCAACTCAGTTCAAATCCCATCCACAAGGGGCCTTTCCCAGTCCTCTCCCACCTTTCCTCCATCCATCCTCCCCTCCCTCATCTCTCCCCCTCTCCTCCGCCCCAGTGCCTTCCCTCTGGGATTATCTTGAACATTAGTAATGTCAAACTCAAATAGAAAAAAGGGGGTCACTAAACTTTACATGAGGATCCCTGTGATCTACCTATTGACTTAGCTCTAAAATGTGATTATCTGCTGTATCATATTATTTATTAAATATTTCCATATTATATTTTAATCTGGTTCAGGTGTTGTGGGCTACATGGTGCCAACCAACTGTATGTTTGATGTCTTGTTGTAGACCATTCCTTAGTACAATACCAGGCACAGGCTAAGTGCCTAGTAAGTGATTGTTGATGGATACATAAACTGATTTGAGTTACAGAAAAATACTTCAGAAGGACTTAAAATTTTTATACTCTCCATGTTTT